GGGGGGGGGGGGCATCGTGTTTATCGTTCAAGATTCAGGGTTTAGGGTCTAGGCTCTAGGCTCTAGGTTTAGGGTCTCAGGGTTTAGGATTCAAGGATCAGGGGTTACGTTTTAGGGGTTAGGAATCGGGGTTTTAGGTTTAGGTTTTACGGCTCATGTTTTATTGTCTTAGGGGTAGATTGTCGGGTTTATGGCTCATGCTTAGGGTTATGTAGTAGGGTTTAGGTCTCAGGTCCTACGGTTCATTCTTTACGGTATTATTTTTAGTGGTTATGACTCATGCTTTATCCCTCAGTGTTCATGGATTAGGGCTCTGGCTCAGGTTTACGTTTTAGTCTGTAGGCTTTATGCCTGTAGGGTTTATTTTTCACGGTCCAGGGTTCGCCGTTCAGGTCCCCGGAGGTACCGTTTTGGGTTCACTGTTCAGACCTGTGGGGAGGGACCTATATTTTAGTTGCGTATGATTTGGCGACAAATCCATAAACTTCAGTCGCTCGTGATTAATCATCATTTTTGTGCGGTGATGTTCATGGCCACGGCTTCAGTACATTTCGCCATTTCGACTTATCCTTTATTTCTTGCCTGGGGTCGTCTTCTGGCCTTGCTCTTCACCCTACCTGTTCGCTACAGTCTCTCTCTTTATTGACCTGTTGGAACTCTGGGAGTGAAGGCCTGATCCTTTACATCCCAGGTATCCGGGGGGGGGGAGGTTTTAGGCTGCGGTTTGTGGGATTTTCTGTTGTGATTCAGATTCTACGACTTAGGTGATATATTTCGTTCTTCGCCTTGAAATCTTTAAATTTGAACTGTAGTTGCTTCTGCTTAGGTTTCGGTGCTAGGTGTTGTGCCATGATATTAGCCTACTGGGGTTAGGGTTTTGGACTTATCCTTTAAGTTCTACTTCTTGGGGGTTGTGCCTAGCAGACATTTTCTAATGGTCTATTTTCCGATCTGCAGATCTTATAGCTCTTGGATTTATGTTGTATTGTTCAAGTGGCAGTGTTCGCGATTTAATATTTAGGTGTTACCCTTTAAGGTGTAGCCCACAGATGTGATGGGTTACCCTTCAGGTTTTATCACTAAAGATTTTAGTTGTTAGGTGCCTATATTTCCACATAGTGGTAATATAATGATGTATCACTCACTGGTAATACGGGTAGAATGCCAGGATGTTATGCTTCTTTATTTCTGGTTTAGTATTCCTTCTTTAAGTCCAATTGTCTCGTTTCATACCTGGATGTGTAGTTAGTGCATCTTATTATTCATCCTTTTATAACTTGGCTTGTATGGACGACATGATGTTTGCTGATTTCCTGGTCTCATGCTGATGATTCAGGTTTCTCTTCCTGTTTCATGGGTTGGGGGTAATTTGGTGGCCTCGTCCCCTAGCCCTAGATTTTATATGGTATGACTTAATGTCGAGGAATCTTTTTGGTCGATTTAGATTTTGTTCCCAAGCATGGAAGTTTAGTGCCTAGGGCTGTAGTTTCCTGGTTTTATGGAAGCACCTTTATTTTATAGGTTGGAGGACTGAGGATTAGGAGGGGGGGTTCCTTGTAGTTTGTATGGTTCCTGTTTATAGCTTCTGATTTTAGGTTTAGGTTTTAAGGGGTATCCCTATTTTTGGGCTCCCGACTCCTTTGTTACTTCTGGTTGCTCCTGCATTATTCTGTATTATTTATTGTTAGCTTCTTTGGGTTCTTCTCCCCTTCTCTACTTATTAGGAGCAACTTATAATTTCTCTTCCCCTGCTGTCCATGCTTTTCGGTTTTAGGCTCACTATTTCGAGATTCCTTTTTTCTATTATGACTCAATCTCTTAGGGGTTCGCCTCCAGGTTCTTGGCTTAATGTGTACATTTAGGCTTCACGTTCATGTTGCAAAACTATCGCGTTAAGTTCAGAGTTTATTCTCTAGGACTTGTTTGCTCATGCTCTTGCGTTTATATTTCCTGGTTATTGCCCTTTCACGTATTTTTAACTTTTTAGCTTTCATTCCTTATGTTATATCTCTTAGCCCAGAATGATTAAGTTTCCAATTTTGGATTTATGCTTTGGAGTCTGAGCCCTGCTCCTGCTGTGTTAATTCCTGGGCTTTAACCTGTATGGAGCGTCAGGTATGGCTTAAGGCTCAGTGATGTTGAAGTATGTTCCATGCTACTTGCCCTGTGGACCACAGGCAATGCTTAGGCGTAGAGACTGGAAATGTATATCGCAGAGGTAGTTTTTCACTCCCCGCCCATTTCCCTCATTATATGGATTCTATCTCGTTCTACCTAACCTCTGCTGTTGGCCTCCCGTTTGAGGCTGTAGGTTGCCCCCATTATTGTTTATGCCTGCTCTCCTTTTGTTAGGCTCTTCTCTGGCTTAGGTTCCTGTAATTTCGAGTGCTGCAATTGTAGGGAGTTCTGTTAAAGAGTACATTTCTCTCTACACATTTTACTTGTACTTCTTGGTTTTTACGCTTCAATTTTACGCAGTTAGGTTGTAGGGTGTAAGCACCTATTTCATTTGGGTTTTACTCATGCATTGTTCTGTCGGCTTAGGGAGGTTTGTTGTTGTCTCAACTTTTATGGTTCAGCCTGTATTTCTTAATATTTAGTATTAATGCTTTATTTCTTATCCCTCCGGTTCGACTCTTGAGGGTATTTTTCAGGCTCTATCCTCTATGCTTACGTCTCCAGGTTCCTGTTTATGGCCGAGGGGTTTTCTTTATCCCTTAGCGTCCATTAGTACTGTTCGATAAGTTATTTTAGGCGGGTAAGATTCACTGATTATGTGCCTTCGGTTCTGTGATCATTCTTAGGTTCTTATGATCTAGGGTGTAGTTTTTGGGTTGTAGCTTTTGGGTCTTAGGCTGTATATTTCATGGCTTAGGTTCTACGTATTATCAGTAAGGCGCGTTCGTCAGCGTTTACTCGCACCCTCTATTCTTTATTTCTAGCGTTAATTCCTTACATATGTTTCCCTATTTTTGTTGGCCGTTTTTATTTCCTATCTCCTTAGGCTTAGGATCTTTTGCCATTTCTTGACGGTGTACGGTTCAGATTCCTTGGTGGCAGATTCAACTTCAATGTTTAGGACTTAGGGGATACCTTTAGTTTTTATCTCTGTTTGATGAAGTGTAGGGTGGTTTCTGCCTGGCCTAGGTTTATGTTCTATATTGCTTGGGTACTGTGCACTGTTCAGGGGTATGTGCTATGATTCATGCTCTAATGTGCTTTGGTGTATTTGGTCCTATTCTTCTTCAGGGTAGTCCCCCGAATGTCTCTGCGTTAGGGATCATGTTTAGGTTCTACAGGTATGACTTTGCGGCGCCCCTCTGCATTGCCTGTGTTTTACTTTTTATGGGGTTGAGATCTGTTGTATTAATTGGTTTCCAACGTCGAGTTGTGGTGTGGTAGGATTTATTGTGCAAGCTTTATGGTTAAAGGCTTCTGCCTCCTGTTTCTGGTTCTGTTATCAGCCTCTAAAGTCTATTCTTTACGGTTAGCCCTCTAATGCTGTTCGCTCCGGATTTACAGTTTGGACCTTAAGCAGCCCCTCACAAGCATCATTGCCCACTCTGCGTCCTTCGGTGGTTTTGGTTCTCCCTCGATTTACTTTATTATTTCCTTGTTCCTGTGGTAATCTTGTTCTGTTTGGGTTTCTTTACGGCGTCTTCTCTTATTTTCTTCCTATGGTGTCTTTTTAGAAGTCTGCGATGATAGAAGAACAGATATATTTGTAGATTCCTTATTATCCTCCTCATATTCAACATACTTTAACGGTGTTAATATAAAGATACGGAACAGTCAATGTTTAGACTCCGTCTTTTTACTTTATTGAGATATATACATAGGGACAACAGTCTTACTGAGCTAGTGTTACTTCGCTGGCTATCTTATTTTCTTCCTTCTCCCATAGGATATATTTGTAGAATCGGGGAGTTATACAGGCAACGATGACGCGCTGAATTATAGAGCACATATTCATCTATATTAATGTTAATCCATACTGTTGTAAGATCTTTTGCTGAACAGTTCTCTCTCATATTCAACTGTGTATCTTCCTGTTCGTCTATGTCACTACTGAATTCCTCTTAATAATATGGATATTATGGGAGGGGTACACAACACGTTTGCTGGTTCACGATTTTTTGAATGCTTTTATTGCAATGTCGCAACACAAGTTGAATGATCTGTATTTATCACTTGATTTCCTGCTTTTACAAGGAATTTGTACATATGACTCTGGAGTACAGGCGATTATAGGAAAGTACAGCACAACTGCTCGATCCACTCTTAGAGGAGATAGGTTGTCGGTTATGAATTCCACTGGTGTGTTCGAAGTCTCGTGTGGTGATAGAAAATATATGTATATGTGACATCCATTAAATTAACCTCCGTATTTAATTGTTCATTATAAAAGTCGCAGGGAGAGATATCATGCTTATTAGGGTTGTTCAGATAAAACTGTGATATATTCATACTATGACTGTTCGTATTTTATGTTTTATCATGCAGAACAAAGTTTATCATTTTGATATCACCAGCTTGAAATACAGACGAAAGGAAACGGATAAATAGTATATATCTTGTTACTTCTGTTCCACAGATACAGTTGTCAAGCCGTGTTAGAAGGGGAGAATATTAATACTGTGATCCAAATTCATTTGTTCTCCCATGTACAGAGATCTAAATAGCGCGCATTAGTTGGCAGCATCCCCATAGTTCAGACGAAATTGAGAGATTCTTTACTTATACTTAGAATATATACCGATTATAATGTCATTACGTACAATCAATCGTTTATATCGTAATTGTTAGATTACCGTCCTGTATTAATGTTATGTGCAGTCTGAATAAACATGCTTCTTCTATAAAATTATATCTATGACTATGATATATTATACAGTATACCCGCATTTTGGAGACATTATTCGGCTGATCCTTTAGGTGTTAAATCACAAATCTATCAATAACTTATTGCTACTAATTGGAAAAAGAAAGCAGATAATTAGTCGCGAGGTGGCTGTTAGCATGTTTATTATTAACCCGCAAGAAGATTTGTCCCCAATTTGTGATAAGAATATTTTAAATGTTTCTTATTGGGTGTCAATTTGCGATATTCACTTCGTATAGTTATCTGTATACGCACAGAGAGATGCTTCTATGAAAATTAGAAAGAAATTTAGGCGAAGAATGCACGACACCCTAAAGGAAGAAATGTGCACTTCCCTTTTTTTGATAAGAATGTAAGTAACGATCAGTGGGTTGAAGGGATCTTGTGATGTATGTTTGTTTCACTAAAATGAACTTCTCACTATAATGATAGTATATGAAAGGACATAGCCCCAGTTTGTATAATCTCTCCAGTACCTGTTAATTATTGTCTATAAACTATTATCCGTAACATTATATAAGGGCAGCTGTTGGTTATGTAGAAAGAATAATGGCATCCGATTTAAATGTGATTATTAGGAATTAGGGATGATATCGTAGGCTCTTATTAATATATTCTATTTGAGCGCGTCAATGTAATTATTAACGGAAGTATTTATATTTATTTATGACTGATGTTTATGAATCATTTCTTTCATGCAATGTTTTACTGAGAGTTTATTATGCATAAGAAGGATATTCATTCTTTCCATTAAATATCTTCTAGAGAAGTATGAGGCTTCTTATCTAAACAAGGAACTGACAAGTCAGTATGCATACTGTACCGAGTCGATACTGTCTGCTGATGTGAAAAAGGATGCTCAAATTAGGAGTAATGCCGTTGGCATATGTATACAGTAAAGTGTGAAATTCTGGTAGTAAATCAAAGATAGGTTTTACTCTAAGGAGTGGATCATATTAAAGAGGATATTCATAATGTGCTATTATGATACAAGACATGAACACTATATAAATATACATTTGATTTAAAGAGGTAATACCATAAGTATTAATAGACACCATTATGGACGTCCCTGTTTGTACTTAATAATTGTAATATGTAATAATGTAATTTTAAGTTATTGTATGTGCTAGTACCACTGTTGTTATAATTATATTGGAATCTCATTTTATGTTTTGTATTATCAGTATTAAAATATTAATAA